AGAACAAATAAGACGTCTGGTTCAAAGTATGGGTCGTCGAAGTCAAGCGGTAATAGAGAGTAGGGGAAGAAACACCCGATATTGAATGTTTTTTTTTCCACATTATTTTTTCAATAATTTTATTTTTGTTTTGTTAACTTCCGAAACTTTTTCTTGAATAATCTCAAATAAACGCTTTTAACTTCAAACTCCATATTTCATTAAATAACAGAGCTAGAAACGTGAATAAAAAAACAAAATGCTCAGAAAAGATGGGGCTATGTTTTGATTTAGATAGACATCCATTGGTGCAGATGGAAAGTCCCACAGGATGTGACAAAAATTAGGCATCAAACTGGTTTCTTTTAAAACACCCTGTATATGCCTAAAACTTCGATTCAAATGAAAAGTTGTTTTACAGAGTCATTCCTGAAGATTTAAGCTACAATTAAAAAAAAAATATGTCCAAATCGATTCAGCAGTTTCCAAGAAAATTAAATTTGAAATTGTGCCAAATTTTAGTGGTGCGTTAATTTTGATGCGAAGTGTACAATGCAGAATTTCTTAATAGCTTTGAAACTTGTAAAAATGTATTAATAAATGACCCAATACTACAACATCCTGACTTTAAGAAAACTTTCTTATTGACAACCGATGCATCAAACTATGCAATTGGAGCCGTTTTATCTCAAGGTCCTGTCGGAGCTGATCTTCCCATTGCATACGCATCAAGAACTTTAAACCCAGCTGAATGTAATTATTCGACGATTGAAAAAGAGCTTTTAGCAATCGTATGGGCAACAAAATTTTTTCGACCTTATCTTTTTGGTAGAAAATTCACAATCTTGTCAGATCACAAACCTCTACAATGGCTATTTAATGTTAAAGAACCAAGTTCTAAACTAGTCAGATGGCGACTAAAACTATCTGAATTTGATTATGAAATCAAATACAAAAAAGGAACATTAAACATGAATGCAGACGCACTATCAAGAATTCCTGCAATACAACTTCATGCCATTCAAAAATCAGATCCAGATGCCAGATTAACATCTTCAGATGAAGAATTTCATAAAAAATTAAGATTAATGCTGAAAGATACACCATTATGTAATGATGAAATCATAGCAAAATACTTTACAGATTCTAGAGTATATCTTCCTAAACAAAGCGAGATAGCTAAAGAAAAAGAGATAACAATGTCTGAATCATCTCAATCAACAAAGACAGCATCAGAAAAAGAACCCGAAGAAGAACCTAAGAAAGTAAAACCCAAAATAAAGATATTATCACAACTAATAATACCTCCAAGAAAAGAGAAAAAAAAAATCCCATAAAAATAGGAGAATCTTCGAAAACTCAAAAAAGTAATAGACAAATAACACCAACTAATTGTTCTTCAACAATTTCAGCCTTGTCTGAAAATGACCAAACAATACATACGTCTATGGAAAATCCAATATTAGGAGCTCCATATACTAAGAAACATGTAAATGTATTTGGAAATCAAATTGTATTTCGATATTCCAATAATAACACAATTAGAAAAGAGATAATCAAACTATTTGGTAATAAAAAGAAAATAATATTCTTCTTACCAAATAATCCAACAACATCACAAATTACTAATTTAGTAAAGGAATACATGCCACCTGGTATTTATTGCCTTCATTTCCTAAATAAATCTTTAGAACCTATTGTGATACGAGCATTACAAGAATCGTTTAATTCGAATTCATTTACTTTGTACATCTCGAACTCTTTATTAGAAGACATCACAGAAGTTGATCTTCAACAAGAGAAAATTCAGCAATATCATGAGACTAAAACCTCTCATAGAGGAATCACTGAAAATATTGCAGCCTTAAAGAAAAGATTCTATTGGCTCAATATCGAGAAAGACGTACAGACTTATGTCAAAGTATGCGAGATATGCAATAAAACCAAGTATGAACGTCAACCATACAAAATCATATTCAAACCAACACCCATTGGTATGAAACCCTTTGAACATATTTATATTGACACGTATACAATCAATAACCAGAAATTTCTGACCATTATTGATAGCTTTTCAAAATTTGGTCAAGCCTCTCCTGTAAATACGAAAACAGCTGTTGAGATATCATCACAGTTATTGAAATATTTTAGTGATCATGGAATACCTCAAAAAATCACATCAGATAATGGAGCAGAGTTCAAAAATGCTATAATGACAGATCTTTGTACATTATACAAAATTGAGTTTCATTACACAACTCCAAGAAACCCGAACTCGAATAGTCCAATCGAACGTTTCCATTCGACACTACGTGAAAGTATAACGAGTTTGAAACTCCAAAACCCGAATAAGAGTATTATTGATCTAATGACAATCGCTATATTGAATTATAACGACAGTACTCATAGTACAATGAATCACACCCCTTTTCAAGTGATTAAAGGAAATTTGAATTAAGCCATACCGATTGAACAAACGGAAAATAAACTAACAATTGACTATATAACAAGTTTGGCAGAATCCCTTGCGAATTTGAATAAAGAAATTCAAGAAAAATTATTAGCGAAACAAACAAAGTCTTTAGAATCACGTAATAAAAATCGTGAACCTGAACCAGAATTACAAGATCCAATCTTTGTAAAACAATTTAATAGAGACAAGATAAGTCCGCGTTATGATAGCAAAACACAGAATCGCTTTGCTAAACAAAATGTTAAACGACAATAATTTAATTCAGGTACTCCGAGATGAATCCTTTAGTATTCCTAACTCTCGTTGGAATCACCCAAGCGTATACACTGATGACGGTAGAAAATCCTATTTTACCAATTTCTTTAGGAACAACTTACGTAACAACTCAACATAACACGGCCTATTATCACATAAACACGACAATTATCATACAAAGTATCCGTAAACTGGAAATTACCTTAATGAAATTATCTGACACTCTTAACAAAACAACATGGTCAAACCAATTTGTTGCACTGTTTCAAACAAATATTGAAAACAGTCATTCTCAAATTAAGATTATGAAACAAGTAATCAGAACCTATCAAGACCGAAAACGAAATAAAAGAGGTCTATTAAATTTCATGGGCACAGCACAAAAATGGCTCTACGGAACCCTAGATGCTGAAGACGGCGCAAGATATGATTCTTATATCCAGACGCTTAATGATAATCAAAAAACTCTCAATGAAGATCTAATAACACAAGCTCAAGTATTGAAACAAGTTACAAAAACATTTCACGATCAATTTTTAACTATTGAATCTAACCAAAAGGTTATCACAGGAAAATTACAAAATATTTCCTTGGAAAACCAAAATTTCTACTCAATGTTAACCTTTAATCTAATATTGAACAACATCAATATTCAAAGTAATAAAATAAGGAATCTTATTGATCATGTGCAATTAGCAATAAATTTTGCACAATTGGGAATAATGCATTATACTATTTTACAGCATAATGAACTAAATCAAATATTAACAAATATACCCAAAAGTCAGCAAATACCTTTTGATAATAAAATCAAGTATTATGAGACAATGAAAACTCAAGTAAAAATCCAAAATGAGTTAATTATATTTGTTATACACACACCAATGATTGATCCCAAGCACTTTATATTGTATAAAATCTATCCAAGAACTTACCATTAGGAATAAGTACCCTTACCTATTACTTACTACGGACATTTACTACAATACGTTATGGGAATGCCCGAAAGTCGAAAGTGTGTACCTTTGTAACCAAGAAGAGCTGAAGCAAGAAGAATCATGTGTCTATGACCTGATTACTGACCTACCACAACAATGTCCTTTCACTAAAGTGAAATATGAAAAACCAACAGTGAGACAACTCCCGAATGGACAACTATTAGTCATTCCTAAGAAAAGCCTGACCATAATTATTCAATGTGACAAGACAAACCATATGGAAATAATAACAAATCCAACGCTAGTTTCGTTTGAAAAATGCTTTGTGAAAATACAAAATCAAACATTTTCAAAAACCAGCGAGAACTTCAATTTTGAACTGAAGATTCCAAGAATAGACATCCCTGAACTTCCAGAGAACGCAACAACATTGGAACTTCAAGAAATCAACCAAAAAGACTTAGAAGAAGCCTTCAAGACGACGAAACAAATAAGAGTTCATAATCTAAAAGAATTGTATTTTGAACACTCTTATTTAAACACATATGTAATCATAGGTTTAAGTCTTGCTATTTTATTTTTAATTTTACTGTTTTACTGTTTTAGGAAGTTTAAAACTTCAGAAAAAGGTTGTGCAAATGTGCAAATTGAATTGTCTGATTTGAATTCACAACAATCCACGTTTGCAACATCTTAAGGAGGGAGGAGTTATATTAACCAATTGCCATGCTGATTTATAATCAATTATCTATTTTTTATATGCTTTAATGTGCTTACCCCTTTCCTCTAGGACTTTTTAAATACATCGTTGTAAAGTAAACATCAAATTGCTATGTCGGCATTAAATGTTTATTTAAGCCGATGCCGTCCCATAGGGAACGTTCATTTGTTTTCTGGCTTTAGCCTGTAGCAATTTGATCCGAATATTTTCTTTTGTCACCTCTGTATTTTAATCAATAAAATAAATGTTTTTTAAAATACAAGTTTCTGAATCGAAAATATAATTGGTACACTGTAGAAATGAATAAAATATATTAATTATTTCTACAATAATAGGGATCCGACCTTGAAAATTACTTAGAGCAAGGGCTTAGAGAAGCTATTTCACATTAAATATTTAGCTACAATAAAGGCACGTGCAGAAAAACCAACAAGAATTATTATTATTGACATTTAGCTTTCCCCATACATTAAATCATTTTTATTTTTCATTAATGCAATCATAAGCAAACAGAAGAAGCTTTTCCAAGATAAAATCAGAAAAATCCCATTAACAAAATTGACACCAAAAGGTTTTCGAGTGTTGTTATTTCCAAATGGTTAAAAACGCAACCAGACAATTTTTTCTTGATAAAATGAGGTCTTTGAGGAAAATTCATTCGGAAAATCGTTTGAATATAAATGAAATGAATATCAACGATAAGTCGTTGGATTTTCACGAAACGATTCGGTTTGCCTTGATTATGGCTCAGTGTTTTGGCATTATGCCTCTGCATAATTTAGGCAAAAATGGTCAGGATGTGAATTTCAAGTTTTTAAGTTGGAGATTATTTTTTGCGATTCTTCATATCGCTTGCGTTTCCTCTTTTGCTGTAGCTTGCGTTGTGAGAGCTGCTGTACAAGGATTTCTGATTGACCAAGCTGGTAAGATTCAACATTTAATTTATATTATGTTTATTGTTTTATTATTCCAGCAACAACAAGCTTCTATATTTTCAATACAATCACGTCGATTCATTTTGTATATCTTGCAATGAAATGGGACAGATTATTGATGGAATATGCTCGTGTGGAGTTTTCTATGAGAAACTATATTTGTAAAAGGAGCATTAAAAAAATGAATATTTGGACAGCGGCATTTTTTTTGTTTTTTGCGATAGGTAAGTTGTGTTTCTGATAACCATCCACAATTTTCCCGAATTTCTAAGGAGAGAAGCGTGAATCGAAAAAAAAATCGATTTTCGATTAGCAAGAAAAATCGTGTTGTACATACCTACTACAAGATGAATTGGTTAGAATCTAACTATTTTGCGTCGGTTTAAATCAATTTAAATATTGGAAATTTCGAAGCTTTCCCAATTTTAAAACTTCACACCTAAACATTTAAAACCAAAATAAAACGCATATCAATTAGGCAAATACCGAAGTAGCTTATTCAGCGCGAATTGAATTGATAAAACTTAAAGCGCCACCGGCTTTAAAACTTCCATCGTGACTTATCCAATTCGAAGCAAGATCTAAACGTGTAAACTTTGCCTATGTAGTGAAACAATTAGCAAAAATAAAAAATGTGGGTGCCGCAGATATATCGGATAGGTATCAAAGAATTTGAGAGAGCAATACCTAATCAATCTGAAAAACAGCAAATCATCAGGAGGATATATAGAACAAGACGTGTCAACATTGAAGAGACTATTCAACCTACATATCTAAAGACTGCTCAAATACCAGAAAAATTTAATAAAAACTTCGAAGTTCTGCTCTTCAAACTACTGTCCCACCTCGTTAGTCAGTGGTGCCAGATTGTTTTACTAGGAATTCGTAAGATTGGTCGCCAAAAATCGTGAGAAATCGTGAGACAACTGAAACGCATCAATTTGAAAGGAATTCGCCTTGTGAAACGTTTGTGGCGACATCTAGTGGCATTATATTTTCACTTCTGACGCGCAATTTGTTTATAAAAAAAATATGTTCTAGTTATTTACCTAATAACAAGTGCGGAAAGTGGTACTTTTTCGCACGAGATGGCAGTTACACGAATGACGGTGCGGAAAAGTACAACTTTCGAAACGAAAAATCGTGCGGAAAAGTAACTTTTTCGCACGCTCGTAGAATTTTTTTTTTTAACAAATTGCACGAGATAAATTCGAAAATAACAACAGTTTCTTATAATTATAATTTAAACATAAATAAATAATAAAAAACACGATATCGAATAAATACGAATTCCTGGTGATTCCCCGCGGCTGCTAAAAAATACCGACCACTTGCCTCGCGCTACAATATAGTGCCATCTCCCGTTGCAGTGTTGTGTACCAACGTCGTACCATTGTATGTCGTACCAAAGAATTACTGATTTTTATTTTAAATTAGGTATACATAATTTATTCTCATATTTCTGTCAACAGAATTCTTTATCTACTGGAATAAATTTGCAATTAAAAACTCTTATATTTGACCAAAACCTGCCAAAAGTTTAAAATATCGTGAAATTCTTGGGACATATCGTGATATCGTGAGATTCGATACAAAATCATGAGATCTCACGATAAATCGTGAGATCTGGCACCCCTGTCGTTAGTATACATATATAAAATAACGCGTGTGAAGTTAGCACCCGATTCTCAGCAACGATTTTTCAGGAAAACGAAGTTATTGTGCACTCAACTATTTTCCAAGCAAAATCATGCTCAAAATATGTTGGATAGTTTAATCGATTAAATTTAAAGCTCTTGTGATATAATATATGAATAAAACCTTGAGAACAATTTTGCCCACACAATTTTTTCTCAATAGGTATTCGTCATTACTATTTCACATAAGATTTTGAAAATAAATAGAATGCAAAAATATGAATAAAAACTTCAAATTAAAAATATCAGTTTGACAATTTCAAAAAATGGTCGATGAAATACCATGTTGTTGGTATTGTCCAGGTAGCAATATTGTCAGCTGAATACCGAATTTATTGCCGGTGTAATACACTCTAGTGAAATAGTGATAAAAAATTTACTATTGGTATAATTTTTTTAGCTTGTGGATATTATGAAAGCCTACCCTAAAGGTAGGATTTTTAACTATCCGGCATCGCGGTGTGCGGTAACGGTATGCGGCTATGCGACGTGCCGGTGAGTTGTCTACCATGTTGTAAGATCGAACTGTTTTGTTACCTACCATGCGTTATGCGTCAACGGCACTGCGGCGTCGCAAGCTGTCTCTGCGGCGTGCCGCTGAGAAACTCCAAAATGTTTTTCGGCGACACCGCAGTAGTATGCGACGCCCCACGACCTGGCAAAATACTACAGTTTTGAGGCTTTGTTGTTATATCTTTTTCAATTGCATTCAAAATAAAATAAAACAGATCACGTACGTGAAACTCTTAGTGCGCGTTCACATTGACACCGCTCGAGCGGTGAGCGTTGCGCGATGCCGCTGGAGTGATGCCCAAAAATAAGTTTAACATTATATTTCAAATGAACATGTTCACACTGGATCGGTACGTCGCGCGGTGGGCGGTGGGCGCGTTCCAAGTGTAAGCTGCTGAACTGAGCAGGAAAAGGCTCAGTGCGCGTGCATATTGGTGAGCGGTGAGCGGCGAGCGATGCGCGGTGAGCGATGAGCGTCGACGTAAAATATTTCAAACAGTGAAGTGTAGATTAGAGTGTGCACATTGCAATGAGCGGTGAGCGTTGGCGTTGCGCGGTATCGCATCGCGCCGCTTTGTTTTGGTTTTTGATCGAATGCAAGCGGCACCGCGACACGGATAGAGTAGATTGTATGCACGCAGGCACGCTTTTAATATGTCTTTCCGACAAGATGCTATCGACAGGGAGTTATCAATTGCTGAGGCCCAAAATTCCAATCAAAAACTGTTTTATTTTCTACTTTACTATTATAGATCCATAATATCTAGGAAACGAAATACGTTAACACACCTATAACAACCTGATCCATAACGCCCGCTTTTGCGGGCGTTATGATCTATAACGCCCGCTTATAATACCTCAAGGTGTTTTTGTTGTTCTATTAATTTGCACTTTACCCTAGGCAGCCACTAAATGTCTGACCGAAAATAATTTTCGGTCTAGCCAGTATTCGAACCCGGTCTACCATCAATGTTTCCCATGTAGTCCAGCGCGATAACCCACAGGACCACCACCGTTGCCTTGCCTTATGAGATGTTTATAGATATATTAATTTATTTCGTTTCTATGTACAGGTCGCAGGTACAGGTACAGGTCACAGGTACAGGTACATGTCAAAATACAAAACAATATTCTGTCACACAAGTAGTTTAACTGATTTTGTTAATAACAAATTGATGAAAAAACATTGTGTTGAGTAGAAAATAAAGCATTGTATGCACCACGGGGATTTCAAGATTATAATGCCCTTCAGGCGAAATATATCCCTCGGGCCATAGGCCCTCGGGCTAGTTTCGCCTTCGGGCATTATAATCTACATAATCCCCTTGGTACATAAATAGCTATTATGGAATGATAAAAACAAAAATTACAAAAAAACTGAAGTTATCAAAAAAGAGTGGCTGGAGGTTAATTGTCGCTACTGTTTGGAGAGAGACTGTAGGTATTTGTTTTTACTTACCTTAAAGTTACGTAGAGTGTTTCAGCTGCTAAATTGGTTTCTTGAAATTGGTAGTTCTTTCGATTTCGACGCCTGTTCTCTACTTTGGCTAAAATGTAGTCGAAAGTTTTGATGGACATACGAAGGAATTCAGAAAACCTGGACGAATTGAATCGAAATCCATGTAGAAATGATGGAATTCTCCAATTATTAGACGACTTTGATTCAATTGATGCATTTCTTTCATTTACTTTTAATTAAAAGTAATCGATCTAAACGTGGATTTTCAACTAATAACAGTTTAAGCATCAAAGTAGACACCTTGCTAGCTAGGACAACTCTGAAAACGATCATAATAGCTATTTATGTACCAAGGGCATTATAATCTTAAAATCCCCGTGGTGCATACAATGCTTTATTTTCTACTCAACACAATGTTTTTTCATCAATTTATTATTAACAAAATCAGTCAAACTTGTGTGACAGAATATTGTTTTGTATTTTGACATGTACCTGTACCTGTGATCTGTACCTGTACCTGCGACCTGTACATAGAAACGAAATAAATTAATATATCTATAAACATCTCATAAGGCAAGGCAACGGTGGTGGTCCTGTGAGTTAACGCGCTGGACTACATGGGAAACGTTGATGGTAGACCGGGTTCGAATCCTGGCTAGACCGAAATTTATTTTCGGTCAGACATTTAGTGGCTGCCTAGGAAAGTGCAAATTAATAGAACAACAACAACAAAAACACCCTAGGGTATTATAAGCGGGCATTATAGATCATAACGCCCGCAAAAGCGGGCGTTATGGATCAGGTTGTTATAGGTGTGTTAACGTATTTCGTTTCCTAGGTATTATGGATCTATAATAGTAAAGTAGAAAATAAAATAAACTTTTCAATGTGCACACAACACCGCGGGCGTTAGCACACCTAAACGCTCGCCGTTCAACGCGTACCGCTCATCGCTCGCCAATGTGCACGCAACCTCACACTCAACAGTTGTGAGCGCTCGGAACGCTCCGCTCAATTTTTCGGCGCTTACTGTCAGTACTTGTCCCACAGCTTTTTTTTTTACATGCTTTCGGTACGGTAATTTATTTTATTATTTGTAATTTCTTTGGTTTGGTGCCACTTTTATGCTGTTGAAGAGCTGTTAGGATAGAGGAATTAGTTTTAAACAACTTATTTCAGCCTGCTAATTAGTGGGTTTCCAGTTTGATTATAATGAAAAAGTTTTTCCACATTATACACCCTGACCACTTTAAAAACTGCCATAAACCGGAAAATTAAAATGAGCTTATATCCAGAAAAACAAAAAGATTAGCTGTGCTCATGTCACAACCGTTTTGATGGTGGTGAAATAGCCAGCCGCTGAGATTGAGCGTTCAAGGTTACGGCATTTGGAACGTTACGCTCACTAAGCGGCCTCAACGGTTGTGGCTCTTGGAACGCACCCAATGTGAACGCGCACTTA